CCCTCGAGGCGCGCAGGGCTCCCACGGGGCTGCTCTCCCTGCTCCGCGGACGAAGCACTCGCACGAGGGCAGGCCACCCAGGGGCACCGAGTCGGGGAGGGACACGGCCTCCGCCCGAAGCTAAGGACAGTCAGAGCCCCGCCCTCCTGGCCAGGCCACGACCTGCTCGGGACCCGGAGCGTCTCTCCCTCCCAGAGCCGTCCCTGCGACCACCCTGACCCTGGGTGTGTGGCCACAGCCAGCAGCACTAGCTATACCCACACTGCCAGGCTATAAGCCGTGCTTCTGCCTGTCTAGGGCCTTCCTGCCCGCCCCCAGAACCACCCCCTCACCTTGTCCAGGGTCATGTCCGGGAGGTTGGCTGCGGCGTCGCTGCCCTCACTCTGGCGCTCCGAGATGGGGTCCGAGGCCTCGTAGCCGTAGAGGGCCAGCAGCTCGTCAAGGGGCATGTCGCTGCTCTGGGGGGCAGGGCTCTGTCGGCAGGGCTGCTCTGGGGCTCTGCTCCCCCACCCCTGAGCCCGTCAGCCCCACGACCAGTCACAGGGACTCACCCCAGCCAAACCGCAGGCCCAGCCCCTCGACTAAGGGCCCCTCACAGCCCCAGGAGGGCACCGATGAGACGCCTGAGCCCAGAGGCGTCCGCTGTCTGCCCAACGCCCCTGGCCGCGAAAGGCAGAGCTGGGCAGGCTCCCGTCCACCTCCACCTCCCCGCCCAGGCCCATGCAACCTCCACTCAAGCACTGCGAGGACACCCAGTGTCTGGAAATCAACCGCCACCACACGGGACACCAATAAACAAGAAGGGGAAAAACATGGCCCTTTAATGAACGTAAAAAAGGCATCTAGTCAAACCAACATCACTCCTGATTTTTTAAAACCCTCAGTATGCTAAGTAACGAGATGGACGCCTCATCAATGTAACAGAGAGGCGGCTGACCCTCGCCGCACCAACAACAAACAAGAGGACGCTCGAGGGCCCCACGGCTGCCTAACACTGCTGACACTTGGCCCCACCGCGATATGACAAGAGACAGAAATAAGACCCTTAACTACCAGGAAGGAAGAGGCAAAAACTACCACTACCTTCCACTCCGGTACTGCTTTCCAATCCCGGTTTCTGCAAACCTCGCCTGCTCGAGGCCAGTGCCGCCGGCCATGCCACATCCTGACCCCTGAGGGTCACAGTCACGCCCTCTCGTTCTCTCGCTGTCAACTCCTGCCTGGGGGGCTTCAGAGCCCCGCGGAAGACCTCCCCGCCAACCCCCGGCCCTTCCTCTGGGGTTTCCCTGACCAGGCTCTCTTTTATTCCCACAGCACCCCCGGGGGGGATCACTCCCAGCTTGTAACTGTGCGCCCCGTGGGTGGGGTGGGGTGGGCGCTGGCACGGCGGGGCCCCGGGGAGCAACCTCAGGAGCAGCACGGGGGCGGCTGGCGCGGCCTTTGAGGGCGGGGCGGGGGCACCATAGTGCGCGAGCGCCACGCGTGCTCGCTGGGCCTCAAGGGGTGCCCGTCTCACTAAAGAATACCCTGCAATGCCTGTGTGACGCCGGGGACTTTATGAAAAAAGCCCCTGAGCGGGTGTCCTTTTGATCTTCTGTGGGAGGAAAGGGGGGGGTAACGGAGACGGCACCCTGGAGCTCAGGGCTGGCGGACAACGCCCGCCTCCTGCCAGGCACTGGCCAGACCAGGGAGACCACTGACTGCGCTTCTTGACGGAATAAAACTCAGCGTAAAAGCTCTCAAAGCACAAAATTCCAATTTTGGAAAACTTGGATCTGACAGCATGAACTTCATAAACCACAATGCCTGCTGGTAAGGGGATATAAAAGGCAGGTGTTTCTGATTTTGCTTTGGATATTAAGTTCTTTCTTTTACTTAATCAGTTTACAAAAATTATATCTGAAGAAAATTTTTTTTTTTGGCCGTGCCGCATGTCTTGGGGGATCTCAGTTACCTGATCGGGGATTGAACCGGGGTCACATCAGTGAAAGCGCAGAGTCCTAACCACTGGACCTCCAGAGAACTCCCCTGAAGAAAGCTTAGCTGAGGTAATTTAGCTAAGCTGATTTTTTTTTTTTGGTTACTTTTGAGAAGTTCTGAATTCAAGCTGAACTCCTTAAAACTGATTTTTCTTTGTTGAACAGAAGACATGTTTTGGTTATAAGACCAAATGGGCACCAAGTGATACACAGCACCAAGCTAAATAAATGCCCTATGATTACTTCTTTAAAAAACACTCAGGGCTTCCCTGGTGGCGCAGTGGTTGAGAGTCCGCCTGCCGATGCAGGGGACACGGGTTCGAGCCCTGGTCTAGGAAGATCCCACATGCCGCGGAGCGACTGGGCCCGCGAGCCACAACGACTGAGCATGCGCATCTGGAGCCTGTGCTCGGCAACAAGAGAGGCCGTGACAGTGAGCGGGCCCCGATGGCCGCAACTAGAGAAAGCCCTCGCACAGAAACGAAGACCCAACACAGCCAAAAATAAATAAATAATAAATTTATTTTTAAAAACAAAACACCCAGAACAGATCTATATGAGGCTAGATTTAGACTTTAACCAAAAGAACAAATCACTATATATGTATAACTGACTCACTCTGTTATAAAGCAGAAACTAACACACCATTGTAAAGCAATTATACCCCAAT